CTGCTGTTCCCATGGGAATGTCGTTGTTCGCACTTCAAGATTCCCGCACACATCCATGGAGACCCATCTGTCACAGCCCACAATAGGAGCCCTGTGTGCACACGTCTGGGGACTGGGCTCAGAGGAACGTTACTGATTTGACAAAGGACGCCCTTTCCCAGACTGTCTTGTCTGGGGGCATGCAATCGATGCACAACCGTTTGCTGCCTCAAGAAATCTGGCCACTTTCCTTCCAGGGAAACCACACTTTGTCAGCACCCAAAATGCAAGCTTTTTTTTTTTGCAAGGTGAACATGGACATGACCCCAGCACCAAGCTCCTCCTTGTTTTGCCGTGGTCCTTATGTGGTTTGGACCTTCGGGCATTAAATGGGGGGAAGAATATTGCTGCAGTGCCAAGGGACGGCGCAGAGGAATAGTGGATTGCTGAAAATAATACAAAGGTATTTTGGGGTGTGGAAAGGCCCAGTTTTTTTTGCAGGGGAGGGGGGCTGTTAGGAGACTGACTAGGTTTAGATGGCATTGTGGTGCCAATATTCTCATGGATCTTTCTGTACACAGGCACCCCTCAAGAATACTACACAGTGCCCAATGCCAACATGTGATCATTGCAATTGCCATTTAATGATGGTCTTCTGAATTCACACCTCAGAATTAACAGCTGAGGGTGTGTGTGTGTGTGTGTGTGTGTGTGTGTGTGTGTGTGTCTTCAAAAAATCACTAGTACGTTTTTGCTTTCTCTTTCCTCTCTTTTTGTAGAGGGAGCCACCCAAACAAACTCCTGTTGATCAGCAAAAGCCCACAGACTGATAGAGCTTAGAGCAGGGCTGCCCTTACCGGCGCCATCTTGGAAGGCGTGTCCATTAATCAAAAGCCCACAGACTTGTGTTCTGAAGTGCTCCCTGTAGCTTGAAGAAGCTTCCAACCAGTTCAACCATAAAGTTCCTCTAGTGAAGAATAATAAACATCAATCATTAAAAACAAAAACTTAAATAACACTTATGGTAAAAAGCGCCTTTTAAATTACATATCTGAACTGCAAATTAAAAAAAATAATTAAAAAAAATTAAAATTGACTAAGTTATTATGGTTCATAAAATACAGGAGCAAATACTCGCACACACTGTTCCGTTTTCCTGGAGTCGCGGTTGGGAGGCCTGCTTTGAGGTGGGCTTGGGCCAGTACAATGATTACTACGCATTCTTTCGTGGGTCGATCGATTTCCAAGCACATGGTTTTAAAGTGAAGGTTATTCTGCGGGGTCAGTTTAACAGCAGGAACTAGCATTGGCGGAGATCGTCACAACGTTTCCTTGGTTTCGTTATTCACAGGGAAAGGGAGAGGGTGCAATGGATTCTTGAAATGCAGAAAAACAAAGGTGGTGTTGCAATAGAGAGCCAACAGAAGCAGCAAAAGGGACTGCCCTAAGATGGCATCTGGCTACGACTCAAACACACACACACACACACACACACACACACAAAATTTCATTGCAGACATCATTCCCTGGCCCTCCGCTGACCCCCTTGCCTTCCCCAACCTAGCACTGCTCTCCCCAAATGCTTTCCAGCCAAGATTCAAAGCCTCTAACTTTATACAGCTATATACAAACAGAAACTCCAAAGATTACTTGCATTATCTAAACATTGGATCCCAATTACTTTGAGCTGCCTCTGTAAGGCCAGGTTCTCAGGAAGTCTCAGCAGCTGCCAAGCAGATCCACCGGCCTCACAGTGGGTACTGCTAGGAGGAGGAGGAGCAGAAAGTAAAGAGAGGGTGAAAATGGGGGCCATTGGTTAGAAATATAAACCCCCACCGCCGTCACCCACATGTGGCTCCAGGTGGTAGAATTTGGCTCTCCAGTGACTTCTCAGGCCTGCGTAGACCCTCCGAGCCTAGGATCCATCTAAAGGGCAGGATCCATAGTCGCTTCCTGCCTTTCAGTGTAGGGGAAGACGGGTCCATTTCCCTGCTTGGCCATAAAACATAAATAATGAAATGTTTCCTGATGCTGGGCAGATAATGGCAGAAGCCACGTTTATACGGACCAAGCGCTGTGGAAATAGCCAAGGTACCAAGAGGGCGGCCTGCAGGGCAGCGCCCTGTGCCCAGAGCGGAAGGGTGCTTTCCGCAATGCCATCGCCTCCCAAGCACTGATATTTCTATCGCCTTTGGATGGGGCGGCACCCAAGAAAGGGGTGGCAGGATTAGGGAGCCTGGCTTGTGGCTCGCCCCCTTTGGCACAGCTCCTTCTCCAGCACAGAAGGGTCCCACACACACCCTGGCCCACCCAGACAAGTTAGTTGGCCTTCAGAATGATGGCCCCCAAGGTGTTTGTAGAAAGGATTCCAAAAATCGGATGGGGCAATCTCTTCACAGCTCTGGACGTTAAATGAAACAACCACAATGATTAGGAGGGGGGGGAACCAGAGTTTTCAAAAATGATGGTTGTGGTTCTGCACACCACAAGAGATGCAGTAAGGACCCAAGAGGCCCCTGGTAAACTCTCACAGCCTTCGTAGAGGTGCCCATCAGCAATGAGGCTCTTGTGCTTTAGACCTGCCACAAGCCAGCAACCATCCTGTGTGGAGCAACCAGTGTCAGATGAACAGGGCAGAGCCCCATGGAACTGTGCCCCCTTACAGGCTCCCTGCTCCGCCTGGTATTTTGGCTCAGAAGACGGAGGCTTTGAACTGGACATTTGGGTCTCCTGGGTGCTCTTTGCTTTCGCAGCTCTACGGGCCCCTTCCTGCCTAAAGATCTCCACAGGGCAACAGCTCCAGCAGCTGGCCAGGGTGGCTGAGAAAGCACAAGGCCTTGCACAAAAGGTTTCAGGGTGAGGCCAGACAGAGATGCTACTTGGAGCCCAGCGGCGCAGCCAGGTGGAGACCAAACACACCCTTATCCCTTCCAGTTTATTCAGCCTGAAACATTTGCACTTTGGGTGTCTCTAACTCCTTCCGGCTACATGGCGCAGGTGAGCTTGTTTCTCATCTAGGGCTGTCCATCGGCTTCATCCTCCTGTCTCCTGTGGAGCGCCAAGACCCTTTGCCATGTCCCGTATGCAAGCCACAAGGCTGCCCGCTGCACTCCCAAGCCTATCCCACTTCCCCCTCCCCCTGCCTTTCGCCCCTGGGAGATGTGCTAGCTGGCAAACCATGCTCTGCTTCGGCTGTTTGCCTGGGCTCCTTGCCAGGGCTGCAAGCTCCGTCCCTGCCGACCTCCAGCTACTTGAAGCTTGCGCTGCTCCCAGAATCTGCCTCCAGCAACACCCAGGGACCAAGGCAGGATGTTTACTTGTCAGGAACCAATGGCTGCTTCCTGGGCACATCTAACAAGCCAGCAGAGGTCTCTACCCGAAATCACGACGCTCACCACGGATGCGAATACGTTGTTTCCCTTCCACCACGCCAGCTTTCTATTTAAGCTATTCCGTTTTCTCTCTCCTTTGGCAGATGCCTTTTAGCCCGGCTGCTTCTCTAGAGTAGGGGCAGCTGAGATGGTCCTCTATTGGCCACGCTGGTTGGAGCTGATGGGTTCCCACAGGGCACCACATTCCCTACCCCTATGTGTTGGAAAGGAGGTCCCTTCCGATGAATGCTCTCCCCAGAGACCTGTCATCAGAAGCCACGTGACGCCAGGGCTGCAATTAATCTGACAAAGAAGATCTTGGGAACATCCCAGGTGAATGGAGATCTCCCAGGACGTTCCCAGGAAGCCTAGAACCCAATCCTGCCAGAGGAGTAGATTTTCCACCCAGCCAAACGCCCTACAAGTGCTGCCTCATGCGCCCAGAGGGACCTCAGCGCCACACACACGGCACAAAGGGATCCAGGCTAAAACTTCAGAGATGTTGGGCAGTGGCACACCCGCCAGTTGCGGCCTGTGCCCTTCTAAAGAGCCTAGAGGACACAGTGGAGCAGAGGAAATCCTAGCTCAATTCATCTCTGTTGAAAGCAAACAAATGATGGAGCAGCAGTCTCAATGTCCGGCTGCATAAGCATCTCTCCGAAATTTGCTACATTCCCCCGACTGTCCTTGCTCTGCCCACCCCCCTGGTGACAGCGGAAGAGCCTGTCCTGTGACCAGCACTTCCAGACAACCTCCCTTGCTTGGGCTATCACATATTTAAACCTCACTTGCTCTGGTCTGCCCTTATCACGATGGGCCCAGTCTGTCCCTTCTGCCTGACCTGCTGCCCACCCTTTTCGCCCTGTGGGCAGCCATCCCAACTAGGAGGCTGCCAACCTTCCCGTGAGTTGCCCCACGCTTCAGAAATGAAAATTCAAAGGAACTGCCCCACTCCACTTTCAGGCCCACAGCGACACTCGCTTAACCTCTCCAATCACATTCATTTTTAGCTGCATTCATTCGGGCTCGTACGAAAAAGAAGCCACGCACACACGTTCCCCCGACCCAGTCGGCTCCCCGCATCCTTGGGCCAATTCACACAACCGAACTGGCATGCCGGGAATGTGCCTTGCGTGAATCCGTGGTAAAAAATACCGAGTGCCGGAAACGGGAGCTGGAGCTGCTCAGTGCAACCCAACGCCTCGGATACTTCCGCACGTGCCAAACTAGAGAAGCCAAAAGGGAGGGGTGGGGTGAACGTTTCCTTTTATTGAAACGCCACTTCGCTTAGTTTGACTGAGCAGACCGGCCATGAAACAAGAGACCAGCTCAGCCTCTCCTTTGTTGCGCTCCGTGGAAGCAACTGCTGAAGCCCAACGGGTTAAAAAACACACGTCCCCTCTCTTCCCAACTTGCCAACCTCTCTCACTTGATTTCCCCACCAAGCTCTCAATCATTCTCCTCTCTGAATCCAGAACACAGTCAGATGGCCATAAACGCCAACAGAATGACTCTTGCTCACTTAAGGTTCAATGCCTGTATGCAAGTCCACCCCCCATTTCCTCTTCCTGTGGAGCAGGGGAAGACAGGGGGACGTCACAATTTAAAAATAAACCCAGGTGGTGTGTTTTTTTTTAAAAAAAAACTCTGAATAGTTAGCAGCTTCCCTGCTTCCTGTGACACGAGGGGTGGGGGTGGCCCGACACGCCATTCATCCTTTTGCCTGCTCCTGTAAATGAAGGAATGAGCTCCACGTTTCAACGCAGATATAATGAACTGTAAATCTAATTCCGACACCTTATCTGGAAGACGCCAATTTTCCCGTGTCATGTTGTGGAAGATGGAACAATTGAAGATACAGATATAGACAGATAGGTAGGTAGATATTAATGGAACTGGAAAGGGGGGGGAGGGGGGAGAAGCCTGCTAGCCTGCCAGCACTGTGCTTTTTTCCCACTCAGAAACCCTGAACATCACCAGTCAATCATTTTTGCTAGTATTAAAAAAAAACAAAATTAGACTCTGGATGAAATGCATGAGATCAGGAGACACTTGCGACGTGGAACTGGGGGAAGAGAGGAAGGTGAAGACTGGGGGAGGAAGAGGGGGATTCAAAAGCACGAATATTGCTCAGCATCAGTGGGTGGCATGAAGCAATTCTGAGTGGGGGAAGACGAGAGGAGAAAGGCGGTGGCAGCAAGAGAATGGGGCTATGGCAGGGAAGTGGCTTTTACAAAATCAACTAAAAAAAAAAAAGGAATTAAAAAATTAAACCCTACAGAATGCATAAAGTGACCCTTGCACTTCTTTTGTTTGTGTTCTTGCTAACAGACTTGGTGCCTTGGGACAGTTGCTCCAGCACCCATGTAAGACTTGAGTTGTTGCATACAATGTTTGACTCCAGATCTGCCGGAAAGAGAGAGAGAAAGAAAACAATAGGACGGAAGTTAGAAGCAGCAACGCAGAGAGACAGGCAAGGCTGAATTCACATCTCTCCCATCAGGGACCCAGCATTTAACAGATTTCACTCTTGCACCCAGTCGACTTTGCCTGCGAGACTGGGTCCCCACCCCAGCTAAGTTGGTGCATCTCTGTGCGGAGGCTCAATTTAACAACCTCAGAGGAGTTTTGCATGTCAGTTGTGGTCTGCCAGAAGAACAGAAACATTTAGGACAGTGCTGCAAATTCACACCCAAGGTGCCTCTTCCCCAAGATCAAACTATGGTTATGAGTTCCATGTGGCAACTGGAGACACCATCATTTTGAAGGCAAGCAAACATGGTTTCCCCACTCCTATAGCGAAGCTACAACTCCCAAACTCACCGTTGGGCAAGGCTTTTTTTAAGAAACAACAAAAGAGTCAGGTTTATTTGTGGGGGTGTTGGAAGGGGCTTGGGGTTACGAAAAGTATTACCCAATTGTGAACGGTGGGATTCTTTAGAAAGCTGCCTGAAAGAGGATTCACGTCCCATCCTGCCACCACACAAGTATTTGTTTCATCCCACAGTCGCGCCTCCGGTCAAACAGATTGTGCAGGTTTTATTGAAAGAAAAGGCAAAAACCTGCACAACCTGTTTGCTAGAGGGGAACGTAGGGTGAGCCACAATACCGATGCTGCTAGGAAGAAAATTTACAGGTGTTCATCCATTTCCATCCTGTGTATGACATCTGGATCTGCCCTCTTCGTTCTGCAGTTTTGGAAGGGAGAGTGGGCACTTAGGAGGAAGACTGCGGTGGCTGGTCACCCACAGGGGGCGGGCTGCACTCTGCCAGCTCCCACCATTCAATGGTCCTAACTTCTGATATTTCAGATCAGACTCACCTGTGCACTCCTATCAGAAGCTGAAGGGGCAGGTGAATGAGCAGAATCTCTTCTAAGCTGGGTTGAGGAACAGAACCTGTGACCTGAACGCAAGATCTCTTGGTAAGAGGGAGCTTATATTTAACTCCTCCTGCCTGTTTTGCTGCCTCATGTTAAAGTCTTCCTTGCCCTCCTCTGCTGAAGGTCCTGTTCTGACTGATGCGCCTTGTGGCAGCAGTCGGAAACCTCTCCGACTGATGCAGGTGGAAGAATTTTGGCCTGTAACACTTTTGTCCGTTTCCATTCTCTAAGGAAAGAAACAATCCTGCCATCGCTCCTTTCTCTCGGCAAAAAATTGACCCTATTCAGGAGGAAGAGTTTCGTGTGTTTGCGAGCGAGTGCACACACCCCACACAAATGCGTCCAGGTCCTCTCCTCTCCAAAGCCAATGTGATCTTCTTGTCAGTCTGCATTTCTTAGTACAAATGTGTGCAGAGATAATTCCTATTCTACTTAATTCAAGAGGGTTCTGGAAGCTTCTCTGTGTGAAAGAAAGAAGCAGAAGGTTTGTGATGTTTGGGTTATTCCTTCCGAGAAGCTGAGTACAGCGGGGTTAAACTGGTTCTGTTATCTTTTTCTGTCAAGGTCATGCTGACTATAATAGTAATGCCAGCAAGAGCCTCCTTCTCTTTCCTTCTCCCTTCTGGTGTGGTTTCTGTACATAGTATGCTTAGTGTTGAGTTTTAGTCTTATTATAAGTTATTGTAAATTTAAGTTAAGTCTGCTACAACTGGATTTCTTATGGACAGATCACGTTCGCAACCCGAGCGTCCACTGTAGTGATTTCAATCGTGATTTCAATTGATTTGGTTTAAATCAAATCCACCCTGGTGAGAAGCCACTTCAAAGCTGGCTCCTGACTTCACCCTTAGCCCACGATGCAAGTACAAAAAGCGAATGTTGCGTTTTGGACTTTTGGTCTTATTGGGGAAGTTGCCTTTTGGGACTCCGATCTCAGACATCAGCTTACGGCCGAGTGGCCTCTAGAGAAGTATTCCAAATGCAGCCCCCACCTCCCGCGACATTGGGGGTGTCCCTGCAAGCGTTCTCAACGACTTACGTGGCTTGGCCAATGGGATTACCAATGTGGAGGTACGTAGCTGTAGGCAGGGGTCCCTTGTGCCCTGTAGGTTGGCACCGAGACTGGATGTGCCCCGATGGCAGTGTGTTGAGGGGTGGTCAGCAAAGTGCCTGCAACAGAAAGAGAGGGGGTCAGGCGGGAGGGGGGCACAAAGCGCTGCATCCCGGCCCCTCAAGCAGGTGTCAGAAGCGGATTCTGAACCCAGGGCCCTGGAGGAAGTGGGAGCACGATTTTCCTGGAACGTGCGGCTTGGCTTGGCTGTGATCCCTGCATTGCGGGGGTGGGTTGGGGGTCGAGAATAGATGACCCTGGGCATCCCTTCCCCCTCGACAATCCTACGATTGTATGATTGGCTCTCTGGCACGAATCCCTTCCAAGCGTTTGCACACCTGTGGACTGAGCTCCTGGGAGCTGGTGGAGGGTGGGGTGGGGAGGCTGCAGAAGCAGCCGAAGGCCTGTGGGACACAAAGGTCTTTCCTCCTGTGGGGCTGGCGGGCGGCTGATCTTGCCCTTCGGGGTCCAACTTGGGGAATGACGCCCGAGGATGCAGCATGGCACAGATGAAATCCCTGGGCACAGGCCATGCAGAATATCCGATCCCTTACCTCCGACCATGTGCCAAGTTGCACCCGAGTTGTAACCAAACAAATAGACCTTCACTGGGGGAGGAGGGGGCGGGGCAGGAGCTGGCAGATAAAGGAGGCCATTTTACTTCAGCTTAACCGTCCTGCTGGTCTCAGGCATTTTTGCACAATTAGCGATGGAAATCAGACATAACAAAGTGCGTACATTTCAATTTTTTTCTTTCCCCCCTTTTTTCCTTCTTTTTTTTTTGCAGAGTGCTGTCCTGCCCACCCCCAAGCTGCCTAGGATCCTCGTACCTATGGGACCGCCTCTCCTGGTACGTCCCACGGAGGACCTTACGGTCTTCAAATAAAAACATCTTGGAGATCCCGGGCCACAGGGAGGTTAGGCTGGCCTCAACCAGAGCCAGGGCTTTTTCGGCCGTGGCCCCGATCTGGTGGAACGCTCTGTCACAAGAGACTAGGGCCCTGCGAGACTTGACATCTTTCCGCAGGGTCTGCAAGACAGAGCTGTTCCACCAGGCCTTTGGCCTAAGCACAGTCCTTTGGCAATCCTCACATAACTCTAGCCCAATGGTTGCCATTAATTTGATTTTGAATTGATTTTAAAATGAATTGATTTTAGAATGCTGTGTTCCTTTTATTGTTGTTAGCCGCTCTGAGCCTGGCTTCAGCTGGGGAGGGCTGGATATAAATAACATTATTATTATTATTATTATTATTATTATTATTATTATTATTATCATTATTAGGTTTGCAGGTGACGTTTCAAGAGCTGCCGTTTCCCCGCAAATGGGAAGAGTGCTTTTGAAAGGGTTGCTTGGCTGTCAATTCTCAGCTTCCATCTACTTACCCCACAGACAGGGCACTTTCAGAACAGAAACCTGCCTCGCCATCTCTCCATCAGGACAGGGATGTCAGGGAGGGTCCTAGCTTTCTCTCTGTTGCACAAGGCTGCTCTTTCTGGCAGCCGGGAAATCGTGGTGCTGGGTGAACCCTGACTCCGAATGAGCTCAGCGCTGCTCATTCCAGCCTGGAAAGACCACCGACACTGTAGAGGCCAATCCCACCTCCTGCCCTGCAAGGCAGCATGTTCTAGCCAATGAACTGACACTGAGGGTAGCAAGGCAAGCAAGGTCAAACAAGATCAGTTGGACACTGGAGGTTGAATCCTGACAAGACAGAAATGCTGTTCTTGGGGGACAGGGGGTGGGTTGGTGTGGAGGACTCGCTGGTCCTGAATGGGGTAACTGTGTCCCTGAAGGACCAGATGTGCAGCCTGGGAGTCATTTTGGACTCACAGCTGTCCATGGAGGCGCAGGTCAATTCTGTATCCAGGGCAGCTGCCTACCAGCTCCACCTGGTACGCCGGCTGAGACCCTCCCTGCCCGCAGACTGCCTCGCCAGAGTGGTGCATGCTCTAGTTATCTCCCACTTGGACTACTGCAACACGCTCTACGTGGGGCTACCTTTGAAGGTGACCTGGAAACTACAACTAATGAAGAATGTGGCAGGTAGACTGGTGACTGGGGGCGGCCGCCGAGACCACGTAAAACTGGTCTTGAAAGACCTACATTGGCTCCCAGTACGTTTCCGAGCACAATTCAAAGTGTTGGTGCTGACCTTTAAAGCCCTAAATGGCCTCAGCCCAGTAGACCTGAAGGAGCGTCTTCACCTCCATTGTTCTGCCCGGACACTGTGGTCCAACTCCAAGGGCCTTCTGGCAGTTCCCTCACTGCGAGAAGTGAGGTTACAGGGAACCAGGCAGAGGGCCTTCTCGGTGGTGGCGCCTGCCCTGTGGAACGCCCTCCCACCAGATGTCAAAGAGATAAACAACTACCTGACATTTAGAAGACATCTGAAAGCAGCCCTGTTCAGGGAAGTTTTAATGTGTGACATTTTAATGTATTTTTAATCTTTGCTGGAAGCCACTCAGAGTGGCTGGGGAAAACCAGCCAGATGGGCGGGGTACAAATAAATAATAATAATAATAATAATAATAATAATAATAATAATAGGCATTTATGCAGATGCTGGGCAGCCACCTGTCATGGATGCTGTAGCTGCAGCACCCTTCACTGATCAGGGGGTTGGGGTCAACTAGATGACTTCCACAGTCCCTTCCAACTTTAACTCTATGAAGGCACGGCAAGCAAATCAAAGAGCGCCAGCAGTGCGAAATGCCTCGCTTTGTTGAAACAAAGAGCTTAACAGGAAAGGTGACCTGGTGGTGTATTGGGAGAACTTTGGTTTATTACAGTTCCATGCAGGACTGGGAACAGAGCAAGAGGGAGTCAGCAGCAGGCATGAAGAAGCTCTTAGAAGGAATCGGTTCCCGTCAGCGGGGCCTATCTGAATTCTGCACCTGGAAAAGCTAAATCCTGCAAGCCGAATAAATTTTGTAGCAATCAAATGCACCGGCACGATTTCTCCAAATTTCACATCATCTGTTCTGCTTTTTAAATGGGATGATTTTGACGTGTCAGCACCCCACTTTTCAGCCAAACCTGGAGCCCAAAGTGGCAACCTGATGAACTTTTAATAGGCTTGTGTGCGGTGAGTTCTGGTTCTGGCAGCTGTCCTGGTTCCAGGCCCATCCTTCCAGAAAGAGGGGCCGAAACAGCTGAAATGGGCTTAAGGGCTGGTTGGTGGCAGAGATGCTATTCCACAGAACTAGCAGCCCTTCTCATCATTTATAATTTTATCCTTTTTACTAGTTGTGGGGAGACAAGAGGAGTCCAGAAAGTCCAACACCCAACTGTTGGAAATCTTATTCTGCAGCCCACTCCAGGTCCAGAGGCCTCATGTGGCTGCCAGCCTTCCAATAATATTTTCACAGCCACAAGAAAAGAAACTTTGGGCAGGGTTTCGCTTAGCAGGAAGGCGCGATGCTTAGAAATCCAAATTCCCCACAATGTCCTGGAACTGTGGCAGACAGAGACAGATCCGCAAATACAGTTTAGGAGTTGCAAACAGGACAACACAGTTCTGGTTTCATACAAGCTGTACTGCAGCCTTTGCCCAACATGGTATGGGAGCTCTAGTCCCACAGGGAGCGCATGGAAGGCGCCACATTGGCAAAGGCTGCTCTACCGCAAGGGTTAACAGGACACGGTTTATTTCCATTTAGTTCTCACCTGCTGACATTGCCATGGTGGTCCCAGCTACCATCCCCATGGCCACGCCGTTAGTCCTTGGGGCAGCCACGGGAGCTGGATAAATAGCAGACGGGATGCTGTTTGGCTGGACCACGGTGGTGTGGTGGATGACATGAGGCTGCGCCGCATACACTGGCTGTGTATAATATGCTCCCTGTTCAGAAAGCGGGTAGGGGAGGAGAACCACATTTCAGCAGAGGTTGGCTTTTTTAAAAATCGGCAACGTTGTAGGACACACCATCACAACACAGCTGTGCTAGAAATTGAAGTAGGAAAGCTAGAAGCTAAATGGCACCTTAAACTGAGGTTACGGGCGCAACGATGGAATGTCTAAGGTAAAGGTAAAGGAACCCCTGACCATTAGGTCCAGTCGTGGCCGACTCTGGGGTTGCGGCGCTCATCTTGCTTTATTGGCCGAGGGAGCCGGTGTACAGCTTCCGGGTCATGTGGCCAGCAGGACTAAGCCGCTTCTGGCGAACCAGAGCAGCGCATGGAAACGCCATTTACCTTCCCGCCAGAGTGGTACCTATTTATCTACTTGCACTTTGATGTGCTTTTGAACTTCTAGGTTGGCAGGAGCAGGGACCAAGCAACGGGAGCTCACCCCGTCGCAGGGATTCGAACCGCCAAGTACTCAGTACTTGGAATTACAGGTGGGGAGAGGGCTCTTGCCTTAGTTCCTGCTTAAGAGCTTCCCAGAAGAGACATCTGAATGGCCACTGTGATAAACGGATGCTAGACTAGCTGGGCCTCCGTTCAGACCCAACAGCACTCTTCTTATGCTCTTAATGATGGCACCATCATTACAGAATACAGTGGTACCTCGGGTTACATATGCTTCAGGTTACATACGCTTCAGGTTACAGACTCCACTAACCCAGAAATAGTTCTTTGCTTCAGGATGAAGCAACTTTGAACTTTGCTTCAGGATGAGAACAGAAATCGTGCTCCGGCGGCACGGCAGCAGCAGCAGGAGGCCCCATCAGCTAAAGTGGTGCTTCAGGTTAAGAACAGTTTCAGGTTAAGAACAGACAGACCTCCGGAACGAATTAAGTACTTAACCCGAGGTACCACTGCATCTTCCCAAGGGAGGTCCGCCAAATCACAGTGTTTTAGGCATGACATAGAACATTCAGATTTTTCCAGTTAAATTAAATTTCGTTTTCTACGCTTAGATCAGCCGAGTTACTAAACAGTGGTCGCTTTTAGGCTCTTGTTTTTGTTCTTGCTGTTTGACATCGCCGCGGCTGCCGGTTGTACTCACTTGGGCATACAGGTTCTGCTGCGGATAGGCACTTCGGATGGGGTACATAGCGGTTTGGTAAGGATTTGGTGATGGAGAATAGGGAGGAGGTGCGCTGTTGCTCTGGGTGGGAGGGACCTTGTAGGGCGTTCCAGCGGTATACCCTGTTCAGAAACAAAAAGCAAGGCGTGGTGGGAATGTAAGAAGGTAAAAAGCTTTTGGGAAATGGTATATAATGAATTGAAGAAAATGTTGAAATATACATTTGTTAAGAAACCAGAAGCATTTTTACTAGGCATTACAGGTAACGAGATAAACAAGAAAGAAAAGCAGCTATTTTTATATGCAGTGACAGCAGCAAGAATACTGATGGCCCAGAAATGGAAACAGGAGGAATTACCTACAACAGAAGAATGGAGAACGAAAATGATGGACTATGCAGAACTGGATAGAATGACAGGAAGGATCCGAAATTGACGAGATCAAAGATTTACAGAAGATTGGGGAAAATTTATTGAATACTTGCAAAAACTAAGTGATAATCAGATAACGTTTGTAAGTTTTAATGAAGCTCTGTGATGAAAATGTTAAAATAACTATTAAAAAATAGGATGGAATTTACAGTAATAATATAAATAATAAGGTAGAAATGTGGAAAAAGTAAAAATATGAAGGATTTACAGACAAACTGAGGGAAGTCAAAAAGAGAAATAAGATGTAACTAAGATGTATGGAGTGTATAATTTTATATATATAAAAGAGAAACAAAAAGCAAGGCCCGTCAATCCGGGAGGTTAAGCAATGTTTCTGGCTTTCTCAGAAAGAGGCAGGTCTCATTCCAAACAGCCCCAAAAGCAACTGCTGCACCCATAAGAATGCGATTGTTACTGTTCTTAAAAAAAGAGGCCCAAAGCACAAAATGATGTTTCACAGCAATACAGCAGCTAACAAAAGTTAAGCGGACTTGAAAACGTGCCCCAAATTAGCTAAGTGTTGCTTTCCACCCCCTAGGAGGGTGACGAAGGCGTCCAGTTCATGTCCATTATGTGCTCAATTGTGCAAATGCAAAAATTCATCCAAAATCTGATAGGGAGGCGAAAGAACGCTGAACTGCAGGAAACAGATGGCAAATACAGTAATTTCCTCCAAGAGGCACATAATTGCCTTCCTTTTCACTGACCTCAGAGTCAGACCCAGCGTTAACAAACCAATTTTGAGATTTCGGGCATGAGAACAGGGGCAGTGTTTCCCTGAGCGCAGCTGCACATTGTCAGGGAGGTGCTATTAGCATCCTGGAACGAACTGAGTGGGCTATTCCAAGACAGAGGTACTTAACAAAGCATCTGTTGCAGTGTGTGCCATCAGCGACATAATTAGAAGACAAGGCAAAAACCACTTAGGAACCCAGAGTGGGTGCCGCTGCTACTTCTCTGCACGGCATGGGGCTTATACGGAGGTTAACACAACAAAGGCCAAATAATGGTGTATCGAGTGGCAGAACAGGGGCAGGATCAGAACCTTGGTGATTACTAGGCTTGCAAGTGGGATTTTGTGCAACTCCACATGCAGCCAGGACTGGAACGGAGCACTTGGGCATTGAGCTTTCAGCATTGTTTTTTCAGTACAATGACAACCAAAACGTATTTACTAGGATCCAAAGACTGCTTAGGCTAACAGTGGGAGCTTGTTCTAGCCCAGGTGCAATGTTTGGCTTCTTCTTCTATCCCCCCCCCCGCCCCGCTTGCCCCGTAGGCTCCATGCTATATCACAAACTAGTTTCAGATCTCCTCCTCCCTTCACAGTTTGAAGAGCATTTGGTGAGCAGCATGAGATGAAAAAACCAAATCTCTAGGCTCTAGGCTTTGTGTTTCTTGGGATCCTGGCTTGTGCCTGAGCTGCACAGCTTCTCTCCTGAGTCCACCCTCATCCCCACCCCCCTCAAAAAATTGTGGGATGTGAAACACAAGAGCAGTCAAGTACAACATTCCTAGAGGGAACATGTTTACACATGGGGAATGTTTGTCCAGCCAGCAGGTAAACTTCCTGTTTCCTTCTGGGCTGGGACAGACTTCCTCTGCATGTGACTAGAGGTGGGCGTGGCCTCACCTGTGCAGGTAACGACAAAAGCACAGGGCAGGGCAGCCATCTCTCTCTCTTTGACTACATGCATCGAAGAAGCAACATCTGCTTAGCCAAAGATGCTCTCTTGGCTCTAGCCAAGAGAGGACAAAGGGACAGTCTTCTTATGAGATAGTTTCTAGGTATATGTTACTTTTCTAAGCTAAGTCTGCCTTCTGGGATCCTATTGTGAACAGAATGGTATGTGAGTAAACCTTTTTATACTTTTATAGAAGACTGTGTCGTATCTTATCTTTTATGAGGGAATAAGGGGAAAATACCAGAACAGTTATTATAGAGGCTTTAGCGAGCGTGAGCAAACGCATCCGCTGCAAGTTTAAAAGGGGGAATGTTACTCTGCTAAATTGCGAACTTGTTAATACAAGTTGGAAAAGGATATAATCAGACAATATATCCTCTCCTGTATCCCTGAACATTCCCACAAAAATGGGGGGAACCTTTGGCCCAGATATTGCCAAACTACCATTCCTGCTATTTTATTTATCGTAAGTATTTCCACATCACTCTTCAGTCACATTCCTGGGACAGGTATTTGCCAACACTACTGGAATCCCAGGATGAGGAGAGAGGCGAGTCCTCAAACTTGCTAGAAGTTAACGATTCTCTTTCATCCCACTTATTCCGCAATGAAACCAAATCAAGATGTAGGCTACCGTATTCTGAATTTCAAATAATAATAAATAATCATAATAATTTATTATTTATACCCTGCCCATCTGGTTGGGTTTTCCCAGCCACTCTGGGCAGCTTCCAACATAATATTAAAATACAATAATCTATTAAACATTAAAAGCTTCCCTAAACAGGGCTGCCTTCAGATGTCTTCTAAAAATCTGGTTGTTGTATTTCTCTTTGACATCTGGTGGAAGGGCGTTCCAGAGGGCAGGTGCCACTACCGAGAAGGCCCTCTGCCTGGTTCCCTGTAACTTGGCTTCTCACAGGGAGGGAACCACCAGAAGGCCCTTGGCACTGGACCTCAGTGTCCGGGCTGAACGATCGGGGTGGAGACGCTCCTTCAGGTATACTGGACCAAGGCCGTTCAAACCACATACATTCACCAGCCACCATGCAATGCAGACCACAAGGAGAGAGAAGGCACGTTCTTCCACTGCTTCCATTTTCACAGCGCTGGTTTATTTCTTCTGTCGAATGGGTTCGTTTTTTATTATTGCACTCTGCACTGATGGAAGCAAATGCACTGGAGGGGAGGGTCGGTTTTCTAAATAAATAAATATTGCAAGGGCTGCTCCAGATGGCCTGGGGCATGTGAGCGCAGGCCAGCTAGCAGAGGCATCTGACATGATGTTTTCTTCCAGGTACAACATGCATGCCACCCAATGTTATTATTTGAGGACTCGGGTTTTGTCGGCGGCAGACTCTGCGTGATTAAAAACAGGCACCCTTCCAACACTTATGTTTCCAGGCACACAGACTTGGCAGGAGGAGGCTGCAAGCAGAGTCATTAATTGGTCCTGCCTTAGCCTGTAAGCAAAGCAAACACACAGCCTTATTCCCTCCTTCACATCTGAAATTAACAGGAGCTCCTTTTAGATAAAGGACTCAGCTTTAAGCAGCCACACCTGCTGAACAGGGTCCAAGTGGCAGGGGAGAGTTCAAAGCAAGCTGAGCAAGTAGGGAAGGGAGATCTCTGAACTCCTTGCAGAGACTAGGCTGTCCTGTATCACCAAAGGTCACCTTAGCCTAGCAGAGATTTCTCTGATAGCTTTGTATGCACCTCTGCTCTCTCTATAGGCCCATTTGAATTATTGACAGAAGCCTTGCATCTGCTCGGCTCCTATTAAAAACAGAGCAAGGACTTGCTCTTTGCAAACATGCAGAAAAATAGAAAGCGGCAACCTTGCCTGAAAAGAGCAATCTGGGACGTCAACACAAAACCGCAGGAAGGTTGTCTCGCAGAGAACAATTAGCAAACAATGGGTTTTTAGGGGTGGGTGCGGGAGAAAGACCGCTTAAGGTTGCATTGTCAACCAAATATCCAAGCATAGCTAAAAGCTATCTGGATGGGAGCCAGTTTAGGCTTATCAGGTTGGTAATAAAAAAATGTAGTATAAACACCGACAACTGGGAAACACTGGCCTGCGAGCGCTCCAGTTGGAGAACAGCCTTCACCAAAGGTGTCATGGGCTTTGAAGACACTCAAACTCAGGATGCAAGGGAGAAACGTGCTAAGAGGAAGGCAGGCTTGGCAAATCCACACCGTGATCAACTCCCGCCCAGAAACCTATGTCCCCACTGTGGAAGGACGTGTGGATCCAGAACTGGCCTCCACAGTCACTTATGAACTCATTGTTCAAACCGTGTTTATGGAAGACAATCTTGCTCAGCTACGAGTGATTACAAAAGAAGAAGAAGAAGAAGAAGAAGAAGAAGAAGAAGAAGAAGAAGAAGAAGAAGAAGAAGATCCACCTAGCTCCAAGACCACTATCGTCTGGCAACCCTAAACTGAACGTGCAACGCCTGCAAAACAGAATCCATGTTGCATTCTTCACAGGACTGAGCGCCACATGGATCTCGCCACAGGCAAACCATTCTGGGATCTGAATCACAGCAATACTGTGTTGTAAAAATTTGGGGTGCCCTCACACCGCAGACACAGAAACAGAACAATCCTGAAGCCATTTTGACTCTCCCAAAATGACCTCAAATATTCTTCTGCAGGAGGAGGAAGGAGATGGGGAAAGCTTTCCAGTTGTCTTTTCACTTGCAAATCCAGTTAATAAACTGCCTGGAATGTAGGGGCCAAATCCAGCCTGGCAAGTTTCTCTTAAGCTAAGCAGTCTATCAATAGGTGTAAGTTTGTAAATAAGGGATTCTGGAACCAAAGTATTTACCTTCTCAAAGGAATGGCCAGGCTGCACAGTTAATGCAATCAGGTACCTTGACAGACTGAGGGACGCGGGTGGCGCTGTGGGTTAAACCACAGAGCCTAGGACTTGCCAATCAGAAGGTCGGCGGTTGGAATACCTGCGACGGGGTGGTCCCTGCTCCTGCCAACCTAGCAGTTCGAAAGCACATCAAAGTGCAAGTAGATAAGTAGATAAATAGGTACCGCTCCGGCGGGAAGGTAAACGGCATTTCCGTGCGCTGCTCTGGTTTGCCAGAAGCGGCTTAGTCATGCTGGCCACATGATCCGGAAGCTGTACACCGGCTCCCTTGGCCAATAAAGCGAGATGAGCGCCGCAACCCCAGAGTCGGCCACGACTGGACCTAATGCTCAGGGGTCCCTTTGCCTTTACAGACAGGAGAGAAGCAACACTCTCAAAGGAGACCACCTCCTGCGATGTATGTGGGATGCTTTTTGGGTGGTCTCTGGCTAAGGGGTTGGGCAAATTCAAAGTCTTTAAAGGTTCCTGCACACTTTGTTCTTGGTCTCTCTTGCAAGGAGGGGAGGGAACTCTGCTGCAACAGAAAAATAAAGATCTGCCTTGCTTTTCTCTGAATCCCGCTTCCATCCATTCATCTCTGACCCATCATGGACTTAGGGGAATCAGTCCTTTGGGGAGATGGGCAGCAAAAGCCAAGCCCCAATTTTTCTACCTCAACTGAAAGCTTCCTTCCAGTTTAAAGCCAGAATCTCACAAATCTCTCAGACCCGAACTCCCAGAAACGTCCTCCTCTGCACTGTACCCAATAACCACGACCAACACACACACGAACGCAACTCCCCAGAAAACAGAAGCACACCTTGCTTGGACCACCGTCAACCCACAGCTTAAAAACCCAGAGGGAGTGCAAGCACGTCCATTTTCAAAATGACAGCGCACTGCACAGGCTTACAGAAAAGCAGATAAACTACAAGCTACTGAGATGAGTCTTGCCACAGAGGCACTGTGTGTCTTCTACCCTACAAATCTCTGGGAACGAGCCCAAATCTGTATGTGTATGCAGCTACCAACCCAAAGACTACAACCTATTTAAGAGAACTTCAGCCGGTACAAAATGATACAGCAAATCTTTGGGTGGGTTGAGCAGCTGAAATTAAAAAAAAATAAGATCACACACACACACACACACACATTCATATTCATAAATGTACCAAGCGCATACATAGATGTGTGGACCCCTTGTCTGGAACAGCACAGGAGGACCACCCTGAAACCATTTTGCACCCAAACTGACCAAATGTTTTCTCTGCAAAGAGGGAGGAGGTGGGGGAGCCTCCCCATTGTTTTTTGTTCCCAAATCCTGTCTTAAGGGTATGCCTGTGTATGAATAGGGTGAGCCTGTGACCTGGCTCAGGAACTAAGTATTTATCATTACAAAAGACTGGCCAGGCTCCCCAGGGTATCCAATCAAGTAACCATTAACAGGTAACTTGCCAGACAGGAGATAAACAACACACTCAGATTTCTGTTGTAGACCGCCTCTTCTGTGATGTAGGTATGATGTATCTGGGGTGGTGGTCTTGGGCTACACCCCTTCTGTGATGTATGCATGACGTTTCTGGGGGTGGTCCTGGGCTCCAAGGCGGGCAATTTAAAATGTCTATATAAGGGCAGGCACACCTTGGTTCGGGGTCCTCCTCCTTTCCTGCGTGTGAAGGGGATACCCTGTTGCAACAGTTCAATAAAGATCAGGCTTACTAGCTGCTTTGCTTCTCAATAATCTCTCGTTGGCCTCTGTTATTTTCTCTGACCGATGGAGAACCTGCAAAGCACTCTATAAGGGCTCTTGTGTCCTCCATAAGGGAATAAGGGCAGATTTATGTTTATTACACAGCCTGGGCTACATTAGCCAAGCCCTGAAGCATCTGCAAAAGTTGTTGCATCCTGGACTCTCTTCTGCACAGTAGTAATGAAGCCTTCATGTAGTGGGGGGGAACCTGTGGACTCCCAGAAGTTATTCGACTACCTTCATCCCTAACCATCAGCCACGATGGCTGTGACAGATGGAAGCTGGAGTCCAGCAATGTGAGGACTGCCCCCTCTCAGCCTTAATGTGCTGGGCTCCACTCACCCCTTACAGCCCCTCAAAGTGAATGAAACTATTTAAAAACTATTAAAAAAACAAAACAAAACCGATTTCCTGTCTCCAAAATGGGAGGAGGGGGCTTGATAACTGTACAGTGGTACCTCGGGTTACAGACGCTTCAGGTTACAGACTCCGCTAACCCAAAAATAGTACCTCGGGTTAAGAACTTTGCCCCAGGATGAGAACAGAAATCGCACGCCGGCGGTGCGGCGGGATACCCCATTAGCGAAAGTGCGCCTCAGGTTAAGAACGGTTTCAGGTTAAGAAGGGACCTCCGGAACGAATTAAGTTTGTAACCCGAGGTACCACTGTAATGTGTTTTCTGATTGTAGCATGCTGTGACCTGGGAGGTCTCAGGCTTGAGCTCCTGACCTGGCAACTCTAATTGCAAAAATAATAATAACGACGATAATAATAATAATAATGATAATAATAGAAATAATAAATGCAAAGCAGGCAATACAACCCCCTCCCAAATCAAGAAAGAAACACAGACATACACACAGAGAGAGAAAGAAAAACCACCAGGAAAAAAAAATCCCCAGAAGTATAAAGTTCTATTTACTGAATGCGGCTGATGAAGCTTGGTAAGTTCTGTTCTCGGTCCCAGTGTCCACTGGGAGGTGAAAGGTACCCTCAGAGGCACAAGAGGATGATGTCTGAGGCCAGGCCTGTTTCATCAGGAGTGTCGCTTGAGTGAAGACAGAAGAGAAGATGTTACAAATGGGACAAACAGCGAGGGGGCAAACACAATGATGAAGGCGCAAGCATCCACTGTAAAAAAAACGAAACCCCCAAAACCACTTTTTTGTGAAGTTCAGCCGTCTCCTTCGCTGCGGAGACATAAGGCATATAAAGGGACAGCCGAACCTGTTTTGAGAGATTGGTTCGAAATAATTTTATCTTACACGACAGGTGATTGTTATAAGCAGTTGTCCGAGGCATCAATTAAAGGTTGTGGCTGATTTGAGGCTGTCTAGGAAGTGGGGATCTGAAACTGGGACGCAGGGGGTATTTCGCTGGCTCAAATTGCCTAATTGCCTGTGGTGGGAGGAGGAAGATACAGAATATTTTGCAAAAGTGGACACTGAGAAAAGGAAGAGACGGTTGGGCAGGTCAGCTACTTCCTCGCCCACCTTCACACTATTCTTTTCCTCCGCACTTGCAGCCCCCCACTTCTCTCGCTCTCTTTTTCTCCGCTTCTATCCATCACGAGAATTCCTATCCTGACATGGAGGGAGGGGGCCCATCCATTGCCTCTCCTGCAGCCACTGGGAACACGGAGAAGGAGAAGCAGCAAGGCCTACGACATGATGATGCCAGTTTTGGGTGCTGGTATCTCCGCTGAAAGCAGAGGTGAGCAACCTGTGGTCCCCGGGATATATGTGATAGGAATTTTGAGGTCTTAGATATATGTTAAATGTTCATAAGTGTACCAACCAAGCATGTACATAGATAAGCACAGGAAGACCGACCTGAAGCCATTTTTGATTCCCAAACTGACCAAATGTTTTCTCTGCAAGGTCAAAGGAAAATGGAGAAGCCTCCCCATTGTCTTTTCCTTCACAAATCCTGTCTTAAGGGCACATTTAAGATATGAATAGGGTGGGAGCCTGTGACCTGGCTCATTTATCCTTACAAAAACTGGCCAGGCTCCCCAGGGTATCCAATCAAGTGACCATTAAACAGGTAACCTGGCAGACAGGAGGTAAACAAAGCACTCAGATTTCTGCTGTAGACCGCCCCTTCTGTGATGTATGTATGATGTTTCTGGGGGTGGTCTTGATCTACAGGGTGGCAATTTCAAAAGTCTATATAAGGGCTTGTGCACCATTGTTCTGGGTTCCTCCTCCCTCCTGCGTGTGGTGAGGGAGCACCCTGTTGCAACAGATCAATAAAGATCAGGCTTACGAGCTGCTTTGCTTCTCAATATTCTCTGGTTGGCCTCTGTTATTTTCTCCTACCCATAGGGAACCTACATAAGGACTCTATATGGGCTCTTGGATACCCCATAAGGGAAGAAGGGCAGATTTTTGTTTACAACAAAATCTCACGAGGGTGGCAAGGGGCAGGACAATGGGGGGGGGGAGGTGGGAGCAGAAGGGAGGAAGGAAAGCAGAAAGAGAGGAGACAGAGGGGGCAGAAAGAAAAAGAGGTCTCTCATCCACTTTTGACTCCAGCCTGGCCCCTCCTACTATGTGTGTCCCACCCCTCACCAACAGGGGGAAAAATGTGGTCCACTTCTGGCTTGAAGCATAGATGGGCCAATGGTATGATTTTGAAAAAGGAAACTTCATACTGGGCATAAGAATATTTATCAATGTCATGGTCGGAAACGGGTGAATAACGCAACAGCGAAGTACCATATTTTTCGCTCTATAAGACGCACCTAGTTTTTGGAAGATGAAAACCGGGGGGTGGGGATCTGAATCCCAGAAGCCAGGCTGTCCTGGCTTATGGCATAGCCACGTGCAGCCTCTCCCGGGCAAGGGGAGTCTTCACCCCCTGCCCACGAGAGGCTGCCGGCGGCTAAGGCTCTCTCAAGAGCCACGCTCCCTTTAAAGAGCGCGCGGAGTGTGTGCGCGGCCATAGGCGCCGACTCCATGGGGCCTGAGGGGGCCCGAGCCCCCTCAAAAATTTTATTGGGGGGGGCTCTGCCCCCCCAATAATTTAAGAAAATTATTGGGCGCGCGCAGTGGAAACGTCCTCCGCCGGTGACGTCACCCGGGCCTTGCGGAAAAGGCGCTGCGGGAGTCGCCACCGCCGCGGCGGGGCCACTGCAGAAGGGTGAGTGGCGAGGGCGGGACGGGGCCGCGCGCTCCTTTCCTCGGCTGCCCTCGTCGCGCGCCTTGGCTCCCGCGGCCGGCGAGGGGAGCCCGGGCCACGCGCGGCGGCGGCGGCTGCTGCTGCCGCCGCTGCCTCTCCTGGGGGCGCCGCCTCCCCGGGCGGGAACGCTGCGGGTGCGCGAGGGAGGAGGGCGGCCCCCGGGGGCTGGGAGAGCCGGGCTGCCGTGGCCGAGAGGGCTGCTCTGCCGGGCGCCGCTGACATTGGAACTTAGAAAACTTCCCGGGGCAGGACCCCGGTATGGGCCTCCCCAATATTTTTTATAAGTCGGCGCCCCTGTGCACGGCTCTTGGGGACTTTCCCTTGGGCTGCCCTTCTCCCTCCTCAGGAAAAGCCCCCAAGCGCTGCACACACACTCCACACGACTCTTTAAAGTGAGCGCTGAGCAGAGCCTCCCGCCTGCATTCGCTCCATAAGATGCACACACATTTCCCCTTACTTTTTAGGAGGGGAAAAGTGCGCCTTATAGAGCGAACAATATGGTAGCCATTTTACAGAAACAACCAAGCAGCACCCGTAAAGCGATGTTCAGCAACGCCCACGCCCCCCGATCCTTCTCACTGCCTCTCTTCTCCTATCTTTCTAAACTGCTACTTGAACGATGGCGCGTCCATCCCCTTTGAAGCCGTAATGGACAGTGAAATTCTGGGAAAATGCCCTACTTATTTCTACATACCTCCTCCCACCCTTCTGTGTTCCCCAACAGTAGTGGATTCGCTAATGGTCTGGGCTTTTCACCATGGGCAGTTTTGTGCCGGTGGGGAGATGCAACAGGGGTGCGAGAAACAGGAGGTTAGGGACAAGGCGGGCAGCTCTGAGAAGGTGGGCTCACGAGAAGTGGAAGGGAGCGCTCCTTCGTTCACTGAGGCAGACGTAAACGAAAGCTGGCTTTCCACAGGTTTGATCTCTATTGTCGGCAAAGCTTTCTGAGCTCTTCTCAAGGCCGTGCTTGCACACAGACGGAGGGGAAAATATAGTGGGGGAAAGGTATGGCTCTGGCTTCTGAGAATCTTGAAAAAAGGCTAATAACTGAGTGCCTTTCTGAAACGTTAAGTGTTTTGCAGTGAACGTGAACATAGCTCAGATGCTGCTCCTGAGCGTTGTGCCTACGGAGGGGTATAACATTTTCCCAGCACAGGGTGTCTGGGAAATGCAACCCTCCTCGCTGAAAGCACATCCCTCAGTATTGTGACTGTGGTCAGGATGTTGCTTGTGCAAATGCCACCTTTTTGTTGCCATTGCATACAATCTTCTCCTTGGCTGTAGGCTTCCCTGGAGTGCAATTCAAGCACTGGTGCATTCATCCACTAGGGTGTGTGCGTGTTTTGTTTTCAATTTTCTGACTGGCTGTGCTGTCCTTTCATGCACAAAGCAAAGACTCGAATGCCCCCCCAGCCTTGTTTTCAGCCAGCTATCCTCCACGGCAAAACGACCTCCCATACACTGAAGAACGCGAGGGGCAAAACCTTGAGCTTTTGCTTCAGGACTGTGGTTTGATCATGCAGTTTGCATGCCCGTCGTTTCATGACTGGCTGCTCAGCTGAGGCCGCTGGAAAGGATGGCATCTGAGGCGACGTGTAAATCCTATGCGTCTCCTACGTGTATCTCCTGGGATTGCCCGTTCACAAATGGAAGTTATCGCTTGCTTTTGCAGCGATCGTGCAACAAACGTGCATGTGTGAAGCTGCCCTTTGTGAACAGCAGTCATCCGAAATATGAATTCATTGAATTTCATCCTACTTAAAATTTATGTCCTGCCTTCCAGCTTTGTGGGGGGGGGGTTTTGTATGGCTTGCAAAGAATAAAAATGAATGAAACATCAAAAATAAAATTCGGCCCCACCCGTTAAAGCCTACCTTAAAACTGAGCAGATGAGTAGTAATAAAACAAATGATCCATCAAATGCTCAGCACATTTTTAAAAAAATGTTTCAACCTGGCACTCTGTCATTAAAGTGAGTCTCATAGGCTCTCCAGGGAGGGTATTTCACAAATGGGGAGGGGCCACCAGAGAGAAGGCCCTATCCCTGACCACCTGATTTCAGAAGGTGGGGGGTACCTGGCGAAGGTCCAGAGAAGGTGCTTCTTTTAGGGGAAGGTAGTAGTTCGCATTGCAAGGGACGCGGGTGGCGCTGTGGGTTAAACCACAGAGCCTAGGGCTTGCTGATCAGAAGGTCGGCGGTTCAAATCCCCGTGACAGGGTGAGCTCCCATTGCTCGGTCCCTGCTTCTGCCAACCTAGCAGTTCGAAAACACCCCAAAAAGTGCAAGTAGATAAATAGGTACTGCTCCAGCGGGAAGATAAACAGCGTTTCCGTGCCCTGCTCTGGTTCGCCAGAAGCGGCTTAGTCATGCTGGCCACATGACCCGGAAGCTGTACGCCGGCTCCCTCGGCCAATAAAGCGAGATGAGCGTCGCAACCCCAGAGTCGGCCACGACTGGACCTAATGGTCAGGGGTCCCTTTAGTAGTTTGCATCAAGCAGGGAAGGGAAACATTAAGAGTATAGGAAATGCAGCTGCAGAGTATAGCAGAAAGTGGCCGAGTTTCATTTACTTACTTGCCTAAATTCCTAGCACTTTCCATCAGTCCACTGCTAGCATGACTGCACATTCAGACATGCAGGAGAAAATAGGCCCTTTTGATAGAATGGGTCGCATTAACAGATCTTGCTGTGAAGCAGGTTCCTGGCAGAGTGAGGCTCCCCAGCAAGACCCTCTCTCCACCACGGTGCCCCTGAAATTTGCCACAAAGCTAAGTGCGAAGGGTCTCCCTCCGAGTGAGAATACATTCACTCCCCCTGGCCTTTACAGTAACTTCAGGCGAGAAGGTAACATCTTCATCCTCACT